GGACTTAGGGAAGGAGGCAGAGTGAAGTGATAGTGATGAAATTCACGTTCTGGTCCTTGAGTCCAACTGCCTGGACTAGATCCCAGCTCAGCTCTTACCTTGGGCACATTCTGAGATTTCTGTGTGTTTGTTTCCTCATCTACATAATGGGTGCCTTTATAGTTCCTGTCTCAAGAGTAGTTGTGAGGACTAAATGAGATAATACAGGGAGAGCCCTTAGTAAGTAAATGTATAGTAACTATTAAGTCAGCTACTTCTGCCTAGTGGTGTTGTTATGTGTGTTTTGGGGGCAGTTCATGAAAGGATAAATATTTTTGTTATTTGCAGGGGTAATATAATTCAAGTATAGGAATTAAAAAGCAACCATGACAGATAACAGTCACGTTATTAGATTTCTGTCTGGTCCCTGATCTGTAGACAAACGTTAGAATTTTTAAGGAAACTCCATTAGTCAATTAACACTTGGACTCAATTTTTCTTAATCATTTTATTCAGTGATGTTTATCTTCACCTACTTAATTTAGATTCTTGAATGCAGACTTCAAAAGGATGTTTATTCTTCTCGATTCATGGCTAGAAGGCAAAGATTCAAAAGCTATCAGGAAGGATAGAAGCATATACTGTGGCTTATTCAGGGCACCTGCCTCAAGAGTGCCAAAGCCTGGGTAAGAATCGTGAACCCAGCAGTCAAGTGGCTGCTATGATCTGAGCTCCAAATAAAAGCCTCATATTTTCTACTCCATGCCACTTAAAAATCAAATTATGTCTATCATAAGACAGCCTCAGGCTGAATATGATGTTGAGGGGAAGATTCAGGTCAAACAGATATCTAGACAAAATTTGGTATTTTTCTTATTCATCCTTACATGTCCCTTGCAACTTAGCCAATCCAATTTAAATAAAAATAAAATTCTTCTTTTCCTTGTACTGATTGCTGATTTTTCAAGTAGGAGATAAAGGACTTTTCTCAGGCTTACCCAACCACCCCACATCATGCAAGAGTAACTTTCGACAACTATCTGTGCAAGAGACCACGGATGCGTCCCACCTGAGCCCCTATGGAATGAGCTATCCAAGCAACTTTCTTTCAGGCAACCATTGTCCAGCATACTGACTGCATAGATCAAATGGGGAAAAGATCGGTAAAATGTGTATGACATCCACAGTATTCCCCTTGAAGTTGAACTTCAAAAGGAAATCTGCCACTACTATTTACTTCTCTGTGGCAGGAGCTCCTAGTAACCAAGGGTAATGCAAATAAAGTGAGAACATTGGACCAGCAGACCATGGAGAGAGCATTTAAAAAAAAAAATCTAATTAACTATTTTTTATTGAAGCATAGTTGACATACAATATTATATTACTTTCAGATGTATAACATAGTGATTTGACACTTACATACATTATGAAATGATCACCACAATAATTCTGGTTATTCCAACCATATATTCCAATATATGGTTATTCCAATATTATTGACCGTATTCTCTATGCTGTACTTTATAGTCCCATGACTTATTTTTTTTATAATTGGAAGTTTATATCCCTTAATCTTCTTCACCTATTTTGCCCATCCTTCCACCCACTTTGAACATGAGGAGATTTTATTGTGCACAGGATATTCATCATGCAATTCATCAGGCAATCACCCTGGCCAAGCAAGACTTAGAAAGACTTTCACAAAAATGTTCTGAGCACCAATATAACTATATATTCTAAAGTCTCCTTCTGTAAATTCTGTTGTCTTCCCAACATGACCCTCTAAATATCTGTATCCACATATGAAAGTTTAAAGACTCTTTGCAGCTAAGATATCCTGCTTCCTCAAACTTACCTTTTGTCCCACAAGTTACTTAGTTTTGCCTTGTCTTTTGAACTTTGGATTTCTGTAACATTGGAGATCCAACCAAAATTCCTGAAATCTTGTCTTCACTTAACATCTGTTCCAACCTCGAAAATCATAAATTATACAGCAAAGATAGGGAAACATCCGTTCCTCACTTAGCCCTCAATCGCCTTCTTTGGGATGGTAGATGAAGGGATGTTATAACTTTGAGCTATGATTTGAAAGTATATTGAATCAAACAAAGATATTCTCGCTTAGAACAAAGTATCTATGAAGGACATGTCTGACATTCAAAACCATTTTTACTGAGGTAGGAAACTTTGCTGGCAAGAGACTGACTTTAGCCAACTTTGTTAGTTTGCTGGAGCTGTCATAACGAGTACCACAAACTGGGTGCTTGGAGCAGGATATGTATTGTCTCACAGTTCTGGAAGCTAGAAGTCTGAAGTCACGGTGTCAGCAGAGCCATGCTTCCTCTGAAACCTGTAGGGGAAGGATTTTTCTTTCGTTCTTCTTAGCTTTTGGTGGTTTGCTGGCAGTCTTTGGTGTTCCTTGGCCTGCCGAGTCATCACTCCAGTCCTCCATCTCTGAGCATATCTGAATCTGTGTCCAAATTTCCCTTTTCCTAAGGACATCAGCCATATTGGATCAAGGCCCACACTAATGGCCTTATTTTTATTTTATCACCTCTGTGAAGACTCTGTATCCAAGTAAGGTCATACTCCAAGGGCCTGAGGGTTAGAACTTCAACATATCTGTTAGGAAAGGGAGAGGCGACACAACTCAATCTGTGACACCAGCTTAAACAAAAAAGGAATTTATTGGAAAGATATGTGGTGACTTAATTAAAGGAACAGCTAAAGCAAGAAGACCTAAAAAGGCAAGAGCATGGTTGCCCAACGATCCAAGGAGCAGGCAGGACCTACCCCCAGCCCCACTAGGAGGCTGCTGTATCAAGGGACCTCCACTGACTTCCCCATCTTTGCATCACTCCACATGGCATTCAGAGTCCCAGGAGAAAGTCTGATTGGGTCACTATGTGGCCGGAAAAGTTGGGAGCGCCATTATTTCCTCTCCCAACAACACGAAAGCAACAGAGAAGAGATAATTCCCAAAGGCTTTGGGATGCTATTACCAAAAGAAAGGAGGAAGGATGCTAAATGGATAAAACCAAATGTCTAATTTAGACCCTTTAGCAGGAAATGAGGAAGGGAGCACAATTTGGGGAAAAAAATTATTTTCATATACTCCAAATTCATGATTAATTCTATGTACATAATAAATCCCTGATGATTATTAATACAGCCACTCAGAAAAATTTGTCATTCTGATATGATTTGCCTTTCTTATAAGTCAAGATCATGGAGGGAATTCCAGCTAATCATGATTCCTTTACTGCACTATCTTTAGTTATGTTTTGCTACCATGTCAGTTTTATAGATAGAGAAAATGAGTTCCCCCAAGTGAGCCTTTCTCCCATTCTTTGGTCTCTTGTTCCTTGTACTCTGATCCAGATCAGGACACCCACTTGTGTTGCTGGCCACAGAAAGCCTCCTGGCACGTTATGGTCAGCTGCTTCCTGATGCCTTGGAGGGAAATGTATAATTCTCCCCTCTCAGCTCCTGAGGCACCCACTTCTCATGTTCCAACACTGAGGGGGCTCTCCTTATTCCACCCTCTTTCCCAACTCATCCTACCACCACCTCTTCAAAGAATATAGCCATTGTTATGTTAGTTATGCTTTGAATTAAGAAAAGAAAAGAAGAGGTGGGAAAAATTAAAGCAGATTGCATAAAATGAGGGATATATGGGGGTGTCTCATCATTAAATGGTATAAAATCTTAAAGAATAGACTTATCACCCAGGCTTTCTGTTTGCACTTATTCTTTGACACTTCCAAAGACAAATACCCGATAGGTCTACTGGAGTATTTTGCCTGTTGTCAAATTCCCTGAAGTGCTGGGCATGGGAGTGGTGATCTCCAATGGAAAAACATGCAAGAAGCAGTCTGGGAGTTAGAGACCAGATCACTGAGTGGAGCAGATTGCATCTCTGTATGGAGGAAGGAAGAAAGCTAGTACATTGGCAGAACATGGACTCAAAAACTGGTAAGCAGTGAGTCCCAGGAGGGAGAGCAGAGCCTGATAAATGAGGGCGGGTGGTCTCTACCAGTAGGTAGGACATGATGGAGCAGGGAATATTTGAAATTTTACATTCTTGGCATCAAAGAAACAATTAAATGGCCTAGTCCAAAAGTAATGCATGTCAACCCTGTTTACAACTCCTTGGCCAGACCAATCACTTGGCTCCATCCAACCACAATGAGGCCAGGAAGCCCATGTGCCCAGAAGGGGGAGCTGGACATACTTAGCAAGCAGCCGCAATGACTTCCACTTGTGAAAATGCAAACTCCTTCCCCAACAGACTCTGATTCAGGAGATCCTTGGAATCTGCATTTTAAATAGGCCTCCTCAGGTGGGTCTGATGCAGGGGAGAAGAGTGGAGTCTCTGGAACGCTGACTTAGAACTCCACCTCAGGATAACCAGATGACCAAGAGGATGGGGGCAAATCTGAGATCCAGTCCTTAGAGCTCAGATGTAGGGCCAAACCTGGGAGACTTCACCTTGTTGTCAAAGGGGGCCACGGATGCCTGGACGCTGTGGTCCAGAGGGCTGGACAGAAGATTCCGAAGTGCCCAGGCAGGAAGGTAAGTGTTGGAACCAAACCTGAGACAGAGCAGACCCTCAGGTGTGTATCAAGATTCTCAGCGACAGGGAGAGGAAGAGGGATATGGGGCCAACTCCAGCAGTGACTCTCAGATGTGATCTAAGGCAGACATTTATGTCCGCAGAACTCATGGGCCAGTATCACATCTCCTTATGTAATTCCTTGTTTCTTTCCTCTGTCCTTTCCTGGTGTCATCTTCCCTTCCTCCATTACCCACTCTCTCTGCTTTCCCCCCATTATTTTCTCTTTTATTCCTTCTTTATTTTTCTCCTTTACTCCCCCCCCTGACTTCCTCTTTCCCAATATTTCCTCTTCTTACCCCCTTCTCCTCTCCGCTCCTTCTCCACTCTTTCTCCTCATTCTTCCCTCCTTCTCCCTCTCATTCCTCCTTTCCCGTGGCACCCACACACTCTATTCTCTCTCCAGGTATTATGCCATCTGCTGTCAGCCTCTGGTCTATAGGAACAAGATGACCCCTCTGCGCATCGCATTAATGCTGGGAGGCTGCTGGGTCATCCCTATGTTTATCTCTTTTCTCCCTATAATGCAAGGCTGGAATAATATTGGCATAATTGATTTGGTGAGTACCTGTGCAGACCCTGCTGGTTTACTCTCTGGTGGAGTTTATTTGCTTGGGATTCTAAATAAACAAATAATATCAGGTTGGGTGGCTATTTTAAGAAAGATTCTGATAGTGGTTGGAGTGACAGCAGTAACAACAACAAAAAAATGCAAGCTAACATTTTGGAATGTTTGTTGTATGCCAGAAAGGATGCTCAGACTTTACATAGAATCCTGAAAACATCCTTCTCTCATCTCATCCAGATGGGAGAAGTCAGGCTCCAAAAGGTGAAATAACACGCCCAGTAAATAGCAGAACGGGTACTCAAAAGCTTAGCGTTCAGACTACAGAGCCTGAGGTATGTGAGGTGCCCCAAGAGGCCTTCATCTTATCTCATGGCTTCCAGTGACCAGCAGAAAACATGTCACATGGGTGGAGGCTTCCAGAAAATGAAGAGAACTCTGGGCCAGGAGTTGAGAGAACTGGACTGTGAGCCCAGCTCTGTCCCTGACCCTGAAGGACTGCAATGAGAAGGTGCATTGGTCTTCAGTGGAGGAGTGTGTCTTGCAGGGGTGTCGGAGAGCAGCATGCAAGCCAGGTGTTTGCCAGCCCCTGTTCAGGTGATCTTCAAGAGCCTTCCGGCTCTGACACACTATGTTGATAGTACCAAAGTTGCAATGAAGATCAAAAGTTACGGTGGGGGTTCACTGGCAGCGATATCTGTTCCCTAAGGTGGTTGTCAGGCAGTCACTTTGCAGTGGGGACTATGCTGAGGTAGGAAGGGGACTGGAGATGAGAGATTGAGAGCAGGCTCCAGCCCAACGAGACCAGTTAGAGTAGGAGCTGCCTGTTCTTCTCTCCACCACATTCCCAGCCCCTAATCTTGCCTTGTTCTTTGTCCAGGAAAGGATATCCAAGCCAAGGCTGGGCCAGGATTTGCATGTGGTATGTCAGAACAAGAGTTCCTTGGGCTTCTGAAAGAAATGCTGGGGACAAAGGAGTGGAGAAGTAAAAGGGGATTCATACCAGGGAGACTGTATGGATATTTTCTTGAATTCTATCCTTCTTCTTTCAAACTTCCAATTTCACCATTCTCAAGGGAAATGAAATTCAAGTTTCCGACGACCAGCAGAGTAATAATTATGACCAACCAATGTTGAACACTTACTGTTTGCCGAGTCCAGGTTCACTTAATCATCATTTCTGTGAAACCTCCCTCAGGCCTCACAACAATGCCATGAGGTTGATCCTGTCATTGCCGTCAGGAAACGGAGCATCAGAGAGCTTAAGTTATTAGCTAGCGTCAGATTGGCAGGGAGTGGTGGTGACTCTGGCTAAGCCCAGGCTTGCTGCACTCCGGAGTCTACGCTCTTAATCTCTGTGCTAAACGTACTCCCTAATGGAGAAGACATTTGGAAGCATAAGGTTTCATGCATGGGAACTTTTCAAAAGAGTGCAGCAGTCTTACCTTTGGATATAGAGTTTCTAAGGGAAATAAATTAGAGAATGGAATTGCTGTCCATTTGGGGAGGGAGATAGAGGCATCCCCTATTTACTTCATGCACCTGGGGAATGGGGCATCTGCTTGCTGTGAACATGCCTACTATTTGCTCCATGATGCTGTGTTGGCATCGCATCTTTCCACTCACCTGCCCATTGAATTGGCCTAGAGAGAAGCTAGCACAACCCATGTGTTCACAATACAGATGCAGTTGGTTCTCACCATTCGTGGTAAGTAGGTTCTATAAAGTTGCCACAAGCACCGAATTAGCAAATACTAAATCTTTGCTCCTAGGAGAAATACAGCGTTAGGTTCCTGCAGGTTCTGGTCACAATATTTTCATCACCTAGTCAATACACAATATATGCTGCTTGTGAGAGAGGCCCATGAAATGTAAGGTGACAGTAAGGTTGATATAAAATAATATATATGTTATCATACACATAATAATATATAATACGCAAACACTAATCAGAAGAAAGCTGGTGTAGCTGTACTAGGTATCAGTGATAAAATACATTTAAGGCAAGTCATACTGCTTGAGATAAAGAGGAATATTTCAGTATGAGAAGAAGGTCAATTCAGTAGGAAGATATACTATAATCTTATAATATGCTATGAGACAAGACACTAAAAAATGCACAAATAAAATACCATACGTGTGTATCATATGTTATTCATACATTTGTTCATGTGTATGTTCACACTGGATGTGGGCGGACGCTATTCCTAGGCAGGGCTGATAACTCAGAGCTGTCAGCAGACAGAGTTTATGGCAGGGAGAAAAGTCTTTCAATCTTTAAAAGAGATTCAGTGTATCACAGTATCTAATACTAGGGAGGCTTATTCCAGGAATGCAACACAATCACTGTAATTCACCGTATTAATAAAAGAAAGAGGGAAAACCCACATGATCATCTCTTTACTGCCAAAAATTCATTAACAAAATTCAGTATCCATGATTTCAAAAAATTCTCATCAAACTAAAAATAGAAGAGAGCATCCATAAAAAACGTCCAGCAAGTATCATACTTAATAGTAAAATATTGAAACTCCCCTCCTAAAACTGAGAATGTAAAATGGTGTCCACTATTACCCCTTCTATTTAGGATTACACTTGAGGTCTTATCAAGTTCAATAATGCAAGAAAAATGGAATTAAGATTGGAAAGGATGAAGTGAAACTTTTATTATTTGGAGATCAGATGGGTACTTATGAAGAAAATTAATAAGAATCTAGAGACGAAGTATTAATAACAAATTTAACAGCGTTGCTGGATACGTTGCCATACAAAAAATTTTCACCGAATTCTACATACCAACAACAAACAATTAGGATTAAGGACTTTAAGGCTGTACCATTTGCAATAGGATAGCAAGTCAAATACTTAGGAATAAATCTGACAAAAGATGTGCAAAACATTTACAGAAAAAAATTGTAAAATATTACTGAAATACATTTTAAAAGATTTAAGTAAAGGAAAGAATTACCATGTTTGTGAAATGGAAGGCTTACCATGGGAAAGAAGTTCGTTTTCCTCAATCATTCTACTCTATCTCCAATCAAAATCCCCAAAGATCTGTAGGGAAATTGATAAGCTCATTCTAAATTTTATATAGGAAATGCTGAGATATAAGAACAGTCTTGGTGGAGACGGGCCACAGTTCAAAGACTTTTACTACCAGATATATTGTGTGCAGGCAGAGGGGGAAGGGAGGAGACGCTAACTCCGCTCTCGGTTGGGTGCGGAGATTGAAGGATGATTTTGTCCCTATGTTATCTCCCCTCTCCCCCGGGGCCTGCAGCCCCTTGTGCAGGAACAGTCCCTCTGCCCCCCGGGATGCCATCGTATTCCTTTCTACTTTCGTGGTTTTATGCGCTATAGGCTTATTGGGAAAAGAGAACTTGGCTGATAACCCTTCTTCTCTCTTTCCTCCTCTTTTTCCTCTTGTGTTTTCCCCTCCCTTCCTGCCCTTCCTTGTTCCCCTCCTTTTCTCTCTGCTTTCCAATCCCTCCTTTGCTTTTTCATCCTTTTTCTTTTCTCACAATTGTCCTCCTTCCCCTCCTGCTTCTTTCTCTTCACTTTTTCCTTCCCGTTCTCCCTTCTTTCCTTATTTATTCTCTCCCTCCAACTCTCAGATAGAAAAAAGGAAGTTCAACCAGAACTCTAACTCTACGTACTGTATCTTCATGGTCAACAAGCCCTACGCCATCACCTGCTCTGTGGTGGCCTTCTACATCCCGTTTCTCCTCATGGTGTTGGCCTATTACCGCATCTACATCACAGCGAAGGAGCATGCCCACCAGATCCAGATGTTACAACGGGCAGGAGCCTCCTCCGAAGGCAGGCCCCAGCCAGCCGACCAGCACAGCACTCATCGCATGAGGACAGAGACCAAAGCAGCTAAGACCCTGTGCATCATCATGGGTTGCTTCTGCCTCTGCTGGGCTCCATTCTTTGTCACCAATATCGTGGATCCATTCATAGACTACACTGTTCCTGGACAGGTGTGGACTGCTTTCCTCTGGCTTGGTTACATCAACTCTGGGTTGAACCCCTTTCTCTACGCCTTCTTGAATAAGTCTTTTAGACGTGCCTTCCTCATCATCCTCTGCTGTGATGATGAGCGCTACCGAAGACCCTCCATTCTGGGCCAGACTGTCCCCTGTTCAACCACAACCATTAATGGATCCACACATGTGCTAAGGTGAGTGCTTAGGGGCTTGATAGATTTTGTTCATTTGCAAGACTCCGAACGGGCACCTCTCCAGTGTTTTGTTTCCAGGGGGTTGTTCTTGAAAACCTGTGCAGTGTTTACAAAGAATAAAGAAAATTCTACTCTCTGGTCCGGAAGTAGAATAGTGGATAAGGCCTCAGGCTCTGGGGGAGGCTGGCCTTTATTCAAATCTAGCCTCCACTGTTCTTTGACCCTGGGCAAGTCGTTTAACCACACTGAGCTTCAATTTCATCTTTTAAAAAATTGAGATCCCAATCACAGTATCTTCGTCACAGGGTTTTTGTGAGGATCAAATTAGCTAATGTGTGTAGAGCACATAGTACAGGTCCCAACACCGAGTAAGCACTTAGCAAATATTATCTATTATTATTTATAGGTAGTGTTTTGCAGTAGTGGTTAAAAGCGTGGGCTTTAAGGTAAAATAGACTCTATTTTGACTCTCAGTGCCACTGCTAACCATTTGTATAATCTCTCTTGGTTTTATTTTACTCAACTGTAAAAAAAAAAAGGTAGTAGCATCCATCTCATAGGGCTTTTGTGGCAGCTAGAGATAATGTATTTTTTTAGGGCCTGACACATAGTAAGTACTCACAATTCTCCTAACAATGTTATTAATATGATTAGTAGGAGGAGGAGTAATAACTTATGGCCTGATACCCAAGATGGCCACAAAATAACGTGATAAATGAAATAAATAGGATAAATGTGCAACAGTAATACCACGTGATAAATGATATAATGAAGTTATGGATAATCAAGAAAGGGAATCTGAGGAGGAAAAAAGCTGATTTGGCCTAAGAAAATCAGGAAAGGCTTCAGAGGACAGCATTTTTTAAGAATTTGAGACTTGGAGGAGAGATCAAGGAAGCCATTCTAGCAAATTGAGCAGCATGAGGAAAGAAATGGAATGTGAAAGCGCATGGGAAGGTCAAGTGGTTTATCCAAGGTCACCTGGGTTGATGGAGGTGGGAGTAACTTTGGAGCAGTCATGATGCCTCTCTCTGAACCCTGAGAATTTTCTGGCTCCCTTGGGCTAGAGTCGTTCTCAGCCATGAGAAACCATGTGTTAAATAAGTATATTCATCCTGTAGCAAAGATAAATTGTCAACAGCATTTTTTTCTTTGCCTCGAGATGCACAGGAATTTCTAAAAAGCAGTTCCTTCTTTTGACACAAGCATTTAGTTTTTCTGATGACAGTATTCAGCTGTCCTGGCAGCTGAAAATTGGGGAATTTTCATTTGCATGTGTAAAAAAAGAAAAGAGAAAATAGGGTTTGCAGTGAAATATAAACACTTTGCCTCAGAGACTGCTCAGAAGCCTGAATTCAATTTACTGCTGCTAGTGTGGGCAGACTTGTAGTTAAAGCCTAGTCTGGTGTTGAGATTCCAACTGGTGGGGGGGCCTCCAAGACTACTCCGATAGGCTGGCGTTCTCTCCTGATTATTGTGCCTTAAGCGAGGGTCATAGGAAGAGTCCAACCATAAAGTGTGTGCGCAGGAACTTCTGTGTGGGGGCCTAAAAGCTGTCTGAGTTAGCAGTTGCCTGAGTTCAGGCAGTCAACAGCTCACAGAGTATGCTCTAGTGGTGCCTTTGCCAAGTCAGTTGTTCAGAACCGGAGGGACATTTTTCCCCATAGAAACAGTCACAGAAAGCGTTTGGGGGTTTCAAGGGCAACCCAAGAGACCTATTTTACTGACACGGTATTTTACCCCTGCTGCATTTGGGAACCTGCGGTGGGTTATGAAGCGGAGATGGTGGTTTCGAGCCGGCCTGTGGATGTACTCTCCATACTTTAGTTTTTGTATTTCTGCATGAGGTAATGAAAAGTGCAGGAAGTTGATCGGAGATACTTTTCTGGGGGAGGTAAGGAATCTTTTACGCATGGGGGAGCCGACACAGAGAAGACTGAAGCCTGAATCCACTACAGTGTAAGCTTTGCAAGGACAGGAATCCTGCCTGTTTCATTCACTGCTTCATACCAGATGCCCAGTGTGTTGCTTGATGTACAATAGGAACTTACACTCTTGATGAATAAATTAATAAAGCATACAGTTAATTCTCTAGATCTATTGTATGAGCACCACTTAAGAACAATGCATGTTTTTCTTAAAAATCCTTTAAGCAGGACATCAACAAAATCAGATGGATTCAAGAAATATAAAACCTAAACAATCAAAAGTAAAATCAGCTTTAATCCTGTTAATCCTCCCCTTCACCTCAGAGATAATTAAAACTAGTCTGGTGATTTTTTAAATGCATTTACAAACATTCATAAAAACATACACACTCATAGATTCCTCTCCCTTTGTTCATTTTATTCTATTATTATTATTATTTTCATCATCATCATACGTACGTTCCTTAGTCCCCATCCCCTGTTTCACCCATTCCCTCCCCACCTCCCCTCTGGTAACCATCAGTTTGTTCTTTATAGTCAACAGTCTTATTTCTTGGTTTGTCTCTTTCTTTTTTCCCTTTGCTCATTTGTTTTGTTTCTTGAAATCCGTATATGAGTGAAATCATATGGTATTTGTCTTTCTCTGACTGACATGTTTTGCTTAGTGTTATACTCTCTAGCTCCATCCATGTTGTTGCAAATGGGAGGATTTCATTCTTTTTATGGCTGAATAATATACCACTTCTTCTTTATCCATTCATCTATCAGTGGACACTTGGACGGCTTCCATAGTTTGGCTATTGTAAATAATGCTGCAATAAACATAGGGGTGCATAGGTCCCTGTGATTTAGTGTTTTTGTATTTTTTGGGTAAATACCCAGTGGTGCAATGACTGGATCGTAGGGTAGCTCTGTTTTTAACTTTTTGAGTGGCCTCTATACTGTTTTCCAGAATGGCCGTACCAGTTTGCATTCCCACCAACAGTGCATGAGGGTTCCTTTTTTCTCCACGTCCTTGCCAACACCTGTTGCTTCTTGTGTTTTTGATATTAGCCTTTCTGACAGGTGTGAAGTGACAGCTCGTTTTATTTATTTATTTATTTATTTATTTATTTATTAAGATTTTATTTATTTAATTGACAGAGAGAGAGAGAGACAGCGAAAGAGGGAACACAAGCAGGGGGAGTGGGAGAGGGAGAAGCAGGCTTCCCGCCGAGTAGGGAGCCCGATGCGGAGCTCGATCCCAGGACCCTGGGATCATGACCTGAGCCGAAGACAGATGCTTAATGATTGAGCCACCCAGGTGCCCGAGTGACAGCTCATTTTAGTTTTGATTTGCATTTCCCTGATGATTAGTGATGTTTGAGCACCTTTTCATGTGTCTGTTAGTCATCTGGATGTCTTCTTTGGAGAAATGTCTGTTCATGTCTTCTGCCCATTTTTTTAATTGGAGTGTTTGTTTTTTGGTTGTTGATTTATACAAGTTCTTTATATATCTTGGATACTAACCCTTTATTGGATATGTCATTTGCAAAAATCTTCTCCCATTCAGTAGATTGCCTTTTAGTTTTGTTGATTGTTTCCTTCGTTGTGCAGAAACTTTTTATTTTGATATAGTTCCAATAGTTTATTTTTGTTATTTTTAAAAAAGATTTCATGTATTTATTTGTTAGAGAGAGAGAGACAGCACAAGCAGAGGGAGCGGCAGGCAGAGGGAAAAGCAGGCTCCTCACTGAGCAAGGAGTCCGACGTGGGGTTCATGACCTGAGCTGAAGGCAGATGCTTAACTGACTGAGCCACCCAGGCATCCCTATTGTTGCTTTTTTTCCCCTTGCCTCCGGAGACATATCTAGGAAAAGGTTGCTATGGCCAATGTCAGAGAAATTACTGCCTGTGCTCCCAAGGATTTTTGTGGTTTCAGGTCTCACATATAGGTCTTTCCTCCATTTTGAGTTTAGTTATCTTTGACAAAGGAGGAATGACTATACAATGGGAAGAAGACAGTCTCTTCAGCAAATGGTGTTGGGAAAATTGGACAGCCACATGCAAAAGTATGAAACGGGACCACTTTCTTATTCCCTTTATTTTATATAAATGGGGTCATTTTATATGTACTTTTTTGCACCTTGCTTTTTATCCCTTAAGAATGTATTTTAAAGATCATTGCACCTCAGAACATTTAGATCTAACTCATTCTCTTTAACTGTTCCATAAGTGTGTTAAAATTTATTAATTTCCCATCAGTGAATATGTAAGTGTTACCAACCTTTTGCTATACCTAACTGCATTGTTTTTAATGCCCTTGAACATATTTCTTTGTGTATATGTATTTATTTTAGATAGCTATCCAAAGTGAAATTGCTCTATGGATATATATGTGCACTTAAAAATATTAGGTTTCTCGTAAGATCGACCTCCCAGAATACTGTAGTGATTTGCGTTCTCATCAGCAGGCTGTGAGAGTAGCCTCTACTCCTTCCTTTCATCAACACTATACATTATTTTTCTTTTACTATTTTGCTAATTACAGAAATGTTCTGTCACTTAATTTGCATTTTCCAAAAGATTTGGTAAGTTGAACCTATTTTAAGTTAGTTATTGACTAATTTAAAAGTGTTGACATATATTTATCCTTGTAGAAACTGCACCTTCACATATTTGGTGCTTGGTGTGACAACCTTGTTGTATTTTTCTTTTTTAATTTCTGATTATTTATTATTTTCTAAGTAGTAATCCTTTGTTATATAATTTGCAAATACATTTCCCTCTCTTCTGCTTACTTTTGGACTTTGGTTAACTTTTTATTTTACTTTATTTTATTATGTTATGTTAGTCACCATACAATACATCACCAGTTTTCGATGCAGTGATCCACGATTCATTGTTTTCATACAGCCCCCAGTGCTCCATGCAGTTATGTGCACTCCTTAATACCCATCACCAGGCTAACTTTGAATTTTGAAAGCACTATTGATTTGACTTCTTACAGTTAACCCATCTTCCTTCTGGAATACTTTTCACATTAATTTTCCTAAAAAGTATACTTCCCTGGTTTGCCCTCTGACTCACCAG